AAAAGAAAACGTCAAAAGTATTTGTCCAATTATTGCTTCACAGGCAGAGAATGATTACTTATCAGAAAACAGAAACCATATCATGGTCAGGGAACCGGAAGAGTTTGATGACCTCATCCCCTGTCAGCTGTTTGTCGATCTTGGACCAAAGGAGAAGGACATGGTTGACATCGACATCATAACCGATGGCTTTGACATTGGTGACAAGCCACGGGGCACTGTTGACTTGCAAAATGACGTCACCAACTTTGACGACCACCCATTGCTGAGCTTCAAGGGTGACCCAATGCTCAGTGATGCACCCCTGGCTTCAGAGCCTCTCCTGCCCAGCCCCAGGCGAGAGGAGGACCCATCGTCCGGGGAGGAGTATAATGGGGCTGGGCCAAGCAGCCCAGTCAGTGTGGGGAGCGGGGGAAGCTACCTGCACATCCGGGATGATGATGAACTGACCTACTCCTGCATGACCAAAGACGGTCTGTCCCCAGTTCAAAAGGAGGACATCGAAGGTCAGAGGGTCAGGGGTGAAAGTTCACAAGCATCAGCCCCAAGACCCCAAGTGGATGGACTGCCCCTACTGCTTTGGAGGCAAGAAAGCTCAAACCCCGACGATGATTATCCAGGGGATGGAGATGCCATTGATTCATATTTGCAGATGTCGAGATCTGTACCTCCTTGTACAGGACCGAGACCTGTGAGGGAAGATCCTGGAAGAGACAGAGCCTCCTCCCAGGGAGCAGAGCTCTCAAAGGCACCTTCAAAAGGTGCCAAGGGCAAGGAACGGGGAGACTCGGCAGGGGCCAGTTGTGTCAACGATGGCACCGTATTGGACTATGTCCAGCAAGGGTTCGTTCCTGGGGCAGCAGCTTCTAGTGACAGAATGTACAGCCCTTCTGAGAGTCCTGCCGATGCCTACAGTCAGATGGGACTGCGTGGAGGGGCCAGAGCCACTGCCGCACTGTGCGACAGCACGGGAAGCAGTAGTCAGGACTCAGCTGGCCCCTCTCAGAGTCAGGCCAGACAGGAGACAGGAGGGGCTGAGGCAACAAGAGGACAAGGGAGCAGGTCAGAGGAGGATGTAAATGGGGCAGGAATTGATTCTTATGTCCACAGTGCCTTTGATCGGCCACATGTGAGGACATCACAGGAACCTTCGCAATGTACTGTGGACTCATCAAATCCCCCACGAGACAGAGCCTCATTGGTGTCCCTTGGAGCCACAGCACCTTGTGCACCGCCAGTCTCTGAAACCACACCTACCAACAAGCCCCCAGGAGCCACAAATATTGCCAGGACTCAAAGTGCAGATGCCCTCTCTGACGACAGTGAAGAAGGGGCACTGAACTATGTGAGGGTCGGTTTAGACTCTGACGGTATTGATGTGGAAAGCATGAATGGAGTTGAGCCGGCCAATGTGAATGGATATGTCGTCCAGGGAATGTTACCCAACATGTCAGTTCCTCCGATGGCTCGAAACGTTGCAGGTGAGGCAATGCACAGTGCTGCACCTTCTGGCTATGTCGATCAAGCACAGCTATCGAATCTCTCCCCACCACCCTCTGCGCAGCCTGCTACACACAGCGACCACATCCACATGAACGGAACAGTGGGCGGCAGCAGTGGTGGTGGCTACATAACAGCGGCACAAATGAGCAACATTGCGCCACTGGATCCTGAAGTGGCCTTTGCAGAGGAAAGCCCCTCGAACAACAACAACAACAACCGTGGACAGGAGAATGTTGTAGCTGAACCCTTAGTGCTACAGAATGAATCTAGGCTTGAAACTGACAACCTGGCGAATGTGACACAGCAAGAAGCCACAGGGTTGCTTTCTGGGAATCTGGGCGTTGTCCCCAGCACCGCCATCACCGATGATGGGGTAGTGCCCAATGGGCCAGTTGGTCCTGGTAGTTACGTGACCACTGACCAACTTACCAATCTTCCCCTCCGAAGTCCACAACCAAACTGCCATGCGAACAGAGATGCTGGAAAATAGTATACATGTACAAGTATTGACA